TCCTCGACCGGTGAACAACGCTAGCGGCGTCGACGTGGGCGTCAACGCCGGTGACCAGGTCGGCAGCAGTGCGGGAGGCACGTCGAGGCAGAGAGGTGTGATACACGCCGATGAAGTCGGCGGCGTTCAGGCACGAGGGATGCGGTCGTCGGCGGCTGCAGGGGCCTTGCAGGGTGACGTCAGTGGCCGATGAAGTGGGTTGGCGCCGATGTCGGCGTCACACGTGACGGCGGGAGGGATCGCGCCGAGCTACGGCTACTTCAAGTTTACGCCGGACAGGATCCAGGTCACCCCCCTGCTGGTCGGTCGACCGGACATTCTCACCTGGAAGGAGGCGATCGAGCCCCAGCTGGAGATGGCCGGGCTGATCGGCTTCGCCCGCGGCACCGTGGCGACGCCGGAGGAGATCTACCCCGACTTACCTGCGGAATTTCGCGCCGTGCAGCTGCTGACCTTCACGGTCATATCGCGGTGCTGCTCGCCGGGAGTGCAGATCGCCTTGAAGCCGTGCAGGGAGTACCTGGACGCCGGCCACCGGGCGTGGCACTTCATCGAGTCGACGTACCAGGTCACCGACGACCTGTACATCGGCCAGCTCGAGGAGCAGATGACGCACCTGCGGATGGGCGAGCAGGAGACGGCGACGGACTACTGCAACCGGGCACGGCGACTTCTCGCCACCATGAGGATGGCCGGCGTGCAGTATTCCACGGCGTCGTATGTCACGCACGTCCTAAAGGGGCTCCCGAGCAGCTACAACCTGCTGAAGCGGCTGTCGGTGGCGCCGAGCACGCGGGCGGCCGTTGAGGATTGAAGCCGATCTCCTCCAACACATTGCGCAGCTTCAGGTACCACTGCCTAGGGGCCTGCTTCAGCCCATAGAGGGCCTTTTTCAGCTTCCACACTCTGCCGCTGCCATCGTCAAACCCCTCTGGCTGCAACAAAAAAATATCCTCCTCAAGGATTCCGTTGAGGAACGCCGTTACGATGTCTAGCTGCTTCACCACCCAACCTTTGATCGCGGCTCCCGCGAGTAGGGTTCGCAGCGTCGTCGGCTTCACCACAGGAGCAAACAGCTCATTGAATTCCATCTTGTCCTTCTATTTGTACCCCTTGGCCACCTGCCTAGACTTGTAACGCTCGATCTTGCCGTCGGCATCCGACTTGATTTTGAAGAGCCACTTGGACGTTATCGCCGTACGGCCATCCGGTAGCTCCACCAATTCGAACGTGTCATTCTCCTCGATGCTCTTCAGCTCACTCTCCATGGCCTTCTTCCACTCCTCAGCTTCATTACTCTCCTAGGCCTCCTTGAGAGTTGCTGGTTCTCCCGGCATCTCCACCGGAGAGAAGAACGCGAAGGCACACTCCTCGTAGTCACTCTCCTCGTCGTCTCCGACCATCATTGCCGCTCCGGCCAGGGCTGTCTTGCCCTGCCTTCTGGGTGCATCATAGGTCAGCCTGTTAGGGGCTTGGACTCTCCTCTTGCCCCTTCCTTCCTCCTCAGCTGCAGGGACTTGAAGGCCTTGGCGTTGCTGCGGTGGCTTGGTTCCGTGGAGCACTCGTAGTGCGGGAAGGGAGTGTCGGTGCACGCTCGCTCACTTGCTGCACCTCCTCCTCTTCTTCCTCTGCATCATTGGCCTCCTCTCCCCCATTCACAAGGGAAGATTTCCTTGTAGTGGTGCTGCCGCTGCTCAGCTCCAAAGGCAGCTGCTGACGCTAGTTTTGACAGCCCGCCACTAACGAGCGAACGAGAAGTCCGGCAAGGAGATCCCTTAAGACCTCTACTGTTCGCGGCTGGGATTCACCCAGCACTGAAAGCAACAGCCACAGAACATCCCGGTGTACTCTGCCTAGCATATGCTGATGACGTCAGCTTCATAGGTGACACCCACGAAACAGTAGCTGCCTTCACACACTTCACTAGCCAACTAACACTAGTGGGCCTGCGACACAACCCTGGGAAATGCGCCGGATGGAGTAGGCAACCCATCGACAGTACGGTGCAATTGCCACCAGGGGTACCGATTAGCAATACTGGAATCCAGCTCCTAGGCAGTTTCCTAGGTACCCCTGAGGGAGCCGCCGCTTTCCTGGCTGCCCAGCTATAGGCTATGTCCGCGACACTGCCACTGATCGAGAGAGCAGACCCCCATGTAGCATCCCTTCTAATACGCTGCATCTCCCGACGGGCAGCCTATCTCACCCGAACAACCCCACTGCACCTGCTACCTGGCCTTACATGGTCACAGTGGGGGACAGACCTGGTAGCCGCTGCTCCTGACAGCCTGCGGCATCCGTGTCCCATCAGATGGGGAAGAACAAACTAGAGTATGGGAACAGTCATCTCTCCCACCATCACTATGCGGGTTAGGCCTCAGCGACCCACAGTAGAAGGGAAATTCGGTTTTCTTTTTAGTTTTACCCAAACGGCCCAACTCCTTGGTGGCTTACCACTAGAGGCAGGAAAGGCTTTAAGGGCAGCCAGAAACCACATGCTGGTTCCACGGGACACGGATACTGCCCTGCACCCATGGCTACAAGAGTGCGAAGCAGCTCTACCACAGGAGGCCAGAGAAATACTTGACAAGGAGAGACTCGAACCTTCGGGCTTGAAGCTGCAGCATGAGCTCGGTGTTCGAGTACAGGGAAGCAGATACGATCGACAGGTGGAAGCTACATGGCTGATACGACTGAACCCCCTGTCTGGCCACACACAGAGATACTACTCCCTGACTGGTTACGGTAGCGGTGATGGGCTGACTGCAATCCCAAAAGAAGCACACCGCCGGGTGGGGCCAGAGCACTTCGCCAACGCCGTCCGCTTTAAGCTGGGCCTGCCCTTCTCTACACCAAAGCACTCTGACTGCTCGAAGCACATCGAAATCAAGGACCCATGGCTGCCCAACCACCTGCTCCGCTGCGGCACAGGCAAGCACAGGATCAACACCCACAATGAACTAAGGGACGCATGTATCACGATGGCACAGGACGCAGGTTTCATCATTCACAGGGAATCAGCTGCATTCTGCCCAATTGAAGAACAGACAGGGGATTTCACAATGCGTGACAGGATCTCAGGGGCACTCTACGTGTGTGATGTCACCATCACGGACCCCATTAGCACCCGGGATCCAAATGCCAAAAAGGGGAGGGGATGGGCAGCAAGGGAGGCAGCGGACAAGAAGATTGGCCATTATGCCAACCGCCCAGACACTGTTGGCTTCTTCCCTTTGGCGGTCGAGACATATGGCTGCCCATGCGCCTAAGTGCCACAGTTCTTGAAGCTCTTGGCGGACACGGCTGCTAGGCGCTACTTCAGCGCCCAACCCAAGTCATTTCATGCAGCCAGGTTCCTGCACCTCTTCCGGCAGCGGTGGTCAATGGTTCTGTAGAGAGCCCAATCAGTGGGTTCCCTCATTAAGTCCAACCAGGCGGCGGTTGCAGAAAACCCCCCCTGTGGGGGGGGGGGGGGGGGGGGTACAGTCCGAGCTACACCTTGGGGACTGTTGTTCCGTGTTAGAGCCTCTGTTAGAGATATAGGTGATCATGCGTAGCTTGTAGGTGGCATAGTGTTTGTGCGTCCAATGCTTAAGCTTCCATACCTTGCATGTTTGTAATTTTCAGCTATATTAATGCGCGGACCATTATAGAGAGAGAGACACGTAGGACTTGCCTCCCTAGTCCTCTCACGCTAGCGTCTCTTGCCTCCCTAGTCCTCTCTAGCCTAGTATATAGCCTGCTCTGGCCCTTGGTCCTGCTCATTATTCATTGTTCGGTTCAGTTTTCCTCCCAACCCAGCGGCTCGCGCCGGCCGCCTTCGGCGGCCGACGCTCGACAGCGCGGCCTTCGGCCGCGCGTGAGGGGTGGCAAGCACAATACAAGAGACAACCCCTTATAAGGCAGCGGCATACACACATGGCACAAACAACTACCTACTACCACTAAGGCCATGGACCAAGTGCGCGCGGATCCTACATCTGATCCGCATCAAGGACAGAAAGAAGTGCCGTCAACGAGCGATGAAGCTCGCGCACCACCACAGTGGTTGCGCCGATCGAGTCGATTGCAGTCCCTGCGCGCAAGAACCGCCGCAGTCCACGGACTGCCGTCCCAAGCTGGCCAACGCCCGCAACTCCACCCCTCGTGGGCGTAGCCAACACGGGCGCCAGCAGCTCGGCAAGCCGATCAGCGGCGTCAAGGCACTCCTCCCGAGTGTGCCCATCAAGAGACAAACCCTGGGAGAGAGCTGCGTGAGCATACACCTGTTTTAGGTGTACAGCCCTCAGACCCTCCGAGAGACGCCATATCTGCCCCAAAGACGCCCCGGGAACCTCCGCCGAGGGGAGCTGCCCCACCAGCGACTCCCCCTGCGGTGCAGCTGCGGGAGGAGCGAGACCTACAGGCAGAAGAGACGGATACCGGGCCGACACCGGCCCACCTGCCGCGGTCACAAGCGCAGCACCCGCCGCCTGAGGAACACAAGGCAGTCTCATGCGGTTCCCAGAGGCGGCAGCAGAGGCAGCATGAGCAAGAGGAGGAGGACGAGCCGACAAAGGAGGTTGCGGTGCAGGCGCACGTGGGGCAGCAGGAGTGGGCAACACATGAGGTGGAGCAACGCACGGCGAGTTGCTCCGGCTCGCCTGACCGTTTCGCTCCTCGCGCACCGCAGCAGACACAACCCGCTGCATATCCGCCATCGTCACCGGTTGATCATACACCCAGCCACCACGACCGCGCCCTCCCACCAGCCACCACGACCGCCACGGGATGCAGCCCAGTGTGCCTGGGAACCACGTCGCCGAGGAAATTCGTGTCGCCGCCTCGACGTCGCGCGCTCGTCATGCGGCCCTGGGGAGTGAGGCCGATGCTGCTGTTGACCAGGAGACTGAGGACGCGGAGCCGGCTGCGCAGCGGGAGAAGACGCAGGAGCCGCCAGCGCAGCAGCAACCACCACCTAGTTCGGGCCGGCGCTGGTGGCTAGAGGTGGCCGGTACGGGTCAACTGCAGCCGTAGAAGACACCGCGCCGTGCACAGCCTGCGGCGGCACGAAGGCGCACCCGCCGCCCAGACGGGGCCACATCAGCAGGAACGGGCACAGGCGCCTGTGCATGGGACAGGGGAGGCGCCGGGGCAGGCATAGAGGGATGCGCAGAGGCAGACGCCACAGCGGGCGCAGGAGCAGTCGCAGGAGCAGATGCTGCAGCACGCGCAGGAACGGACGCCGCAGCAGGTGCGGGACCGGATGTTGCGGCAGGCACAAGAGCGGACGCCGCAGGCGGAGAGGCCTGGGCGTCAGGAGACGCAGGCGATGGAGCGAGAAGCGGCGACACCTCCGCAGCCGCTTCAACAGGGGCCCATGCAGCCGGAGGGACAACCACAGCAGACGCCGCGACAAAGGGCAGTGGCGGATAATGCATCTCATGGCCTAACGCCACAGGCATCGCAAGCCGGACGTGTCGGCGGGCATAGAGGCACGACGAGACGGGGAGGAGGCCATAAGAACAGTTTCCAGAGAGAGGCGCGGCGGGCTTTAAGATGTACGAATAACGAGGAAGCAAGAGATCCTACATTTACAGCACAAACAGCAGCGGAATCAACAACGGAAGAATCGTGGGGGTTGACGAGGAGGAAGCAGATGAGCAACGCCGAGTGAATCCAACACCAAGTCGGGCCGCATGCAGGGCACCCACAATTGGGGGGTGCAGAACCCATTGGCACCGGAAACAACAGCGCCGCCCCCGGTCACCCGCCAATTCTCGCCAGAGCAATTAGCCAGAGACAATGCGCGGTTCGACGAAATAGAAATGTGGGACTTGACTCCCCTACGCGACAGTCTTCAGCCCCCGCTGTCACGGAAACTCCCACTGGACATTCGCACTCTATTCGCACAGGCTCTCCTGACACCACTGCTCCGCCTCGCGCGTAACCCTGATTCAGTCGCAGGATGGCGATTGTTACATTTTATCCCCCGCCTAACACTTCGTTTGCCCTCAACGGAAAAGCCCGATTGGCCCGTAGTAATGCAGAGACTTCGCCAATTCCTACGAGGCGAATGGATGCAGCTCTACGAGGCTGAAGTGGACGCGACAAATGGACTGCAACCGCCACATCACGATCCTGATGACCTGGGCAAGCGCGCCAGAGCCGAAGGCCTCACACGCAAGGGAAGCCTTCGAAGGGCGATTCTCGCCTTGGAGGCAACTCCGATCGCCGAACCATCTGCTAACACTCTGGCAGTTCTCAAAGCAAAACACCCCCAAGCGCCAGCTGGACTCATCGATTGGAGCATCCCCGATTCAGTACAGCCGGCCTCCATCGACGAAGGTGCATTCGTTAAACTAGTATGCTGGTGTGAAAATGGAGTGGGAGGAGGACCTTCTAGAATGACCTTCGAGCACCTGAGAGACGCAACCATCGCAACTGGGGGGTTACCACACACCTGCACGCCCACCTCAACACGATCCTAAGGGGAAACTTACCTGACGAGATCTGCTCACCACTTACCGCCTCGCGTCTCATAGCCTTAGCCAATCCCGGTGGAGGCACTCGACACATCGCAGTAGGCGAGTGCATCCTCCGCATTGCTGCCAAATCAGCTCTCTCGTCACTGGCGGAGGAAAGCCGTGCCCACTTCCTCCCTCTGCAGTATTGCGTATCTGTCCAGGGCGGTAGTGAGGCGATTATCCACGCCGCGAGAGCTTTTATGCATGCGAACCCCGAAGCACTGATCCTACAAGCGGATTTAGCAAGTGCATTCAATCCCATCAGCCGCGCAGCGATAGTCGACGGATTATGAGGCACAACGCTGCAGGGCCTCATTCCACTCACCAGAACATCGTATAGCAGGCCAGCCCACCTCTATCTCGACGCGGGGTTCGAATTCGAGGCGCTAACGAGCGAAACTGGAGTGCGCCAGGGAGATCCGCTCGGCCCCCTACTCTTTGCCGCCGGGATCCTCCCTGCCCTTACCCAAACCGCAGCTGCTTTTCCCACCGTACTGTGCCTGGCCTACGCAGACGACGTGACATTCTTAGGGGAGCCGGCTGATTGCTCTGCGGCCTTCAACCACTTCACTGACAGCTTGCGCGACGTGGGGCTGCGCCATAACCCGGAGAAATGCGCAGCGTGGAGTGCAGTGGCCGTAGATTCCCTCGTGCTGCCGCAAGAAGTCCCGTTCTGCGAGGGGGGTTTGCGGGTGCTGGGAAGCTTCATTAGCTCGAGGGAGGGTGCAGCGGCATTACGTACCCAGCTAGAAAATATGTCCTCCCCACTAACGCACTTGGGCAAAATGGACCCCCAGGTAGTGTCGCTGCTACTGACACGGTGTATTTCCAGACGGATCTCTTACCTGGCGCGGACAACCCCCCTCTACCTGTTACCTGAAGCTGAGTGGTCGCGGTGGGGCCAGGCGCTGCTCTATACACTCCTGGATGCGTGTGGCGTGTGCCACCCGAGGGGGGAGACCGAGGAGAGGCGAATCTGGGACCAAGCCTCCCTTCCACCAAGCCTGGGAGGCCTGGGCCTCGCAGACCCTGCGGTGGAAGGGCATTATAGTTACCTGGCCAGCATGTTGCAAGCCCACGCCCTCGTAGTCCCCCTTGGGGGACAGGGGCTTTAACATAGCCTCCGTCCTCTCTGACCGGGAAGGGGCGGAACGAGCTCCCAATTAGTTACAGTAGTGGATCAGCAGCTGCACCCAAAGCCTTACCCAGGAGGCAAGGGAGCTCGTCATGGCCGAGCTGTCAAACCTGAAAGGAGCCCTGCAGCACCGGCTTGCTCTTATCGTTCAGGGGGGAAGGAGTGCAGCTCAGATCACGGCGTCTTGACAGATGCAGCTGAACCCCAAGGCCGGCCACAGGCAGCGCCTCATGTCCTTGACAGGCCATGGGGCAGGGGACTGGCTACTTGCTATTCCCTACATGCCCTCCCTTCGTCTCTGCCCCGAACACTTCATGTTCGCCCTTCAGTTTCGACTCAGGCTGCCGCTGGCGCTGCCAAGTGCTGCGACTGCAGCAAGAGAGTCCCTATCCCGGACAAGAGACTGCCTAACCACCTGCTCCACTGCGGCACAGGGCACGGCCGAACTAACACCCACAACGAGCTGCGCGACGAGTTCATCCGCATGGCACAGGACGCGGATTTCACGGTCCACAAGGAAAGCACCGCCTTCAGCCCCGTAGACAACAAGAAGGCCGACTTAGCCTTTCGGGATCGAAGCTCGGGGGCGGTATGGCTGGCGGACATGATTGTGCAGGCTGGAAAGGCTGGAGATGCTGCAGCGGCGGCAGTTGAGGCTGCGGAGGCGGACGAAGCGGAGCCTGCGGTAAGGGAGTCTGAGGAGGCGGCAAGGCCTGTGGAGGCTGCAACGCCTGCGCCTCCTGGGGGGGGGGGGCGGCGAGGGGGGCAGGGACGGAGGCGGGGGTGGCAGCGGCAGTGGGGACGGCTGCTGAGGCCCATGCGTCGGGGCCTGAGGCAGAGCCTGTCGCTGCAGAGCCTGGTGGAGAGGCGACGGGCGCCATGACTGATGACGTGGACGACGGGGAGGCCAGAACTGTTGCCCACGGGGCCGCAAGTAGTAGGGAGTGCGCCCAAGAGGAGGGTGGTAGACAGGCTCACGAGCCCCGCACCGAGAACGCCGCTCGCGGCCTGGCCCGCCGTTCACCTCGGCTTCAACCAGGTCAGCGGCAGCTCGGAGCAGGGCTGGCACCTGGCCGCCCTGGGCCGGTTTGGGGGTGGCAGAACCAGATCCGCCCGCCACGACCTCACGGCGAGGGACCTTCGCAGCCTTACGCGTCATCAACGGTGGCGCAAGCCGAAATCCACGTGACAGCAGATGCCGGTGAACAGGAACAGGGCTAGGAGCCGCCAACCACGGTGGCGAGCACGCGTGGACGAGGACGAGGAAGGGGGGCAGCACGAGGGCGGGGGCGAGGGCAGGGGCGCGGGCGGGGGCGTGGGCGTCAAGGGGAAGCCATCAACGCCCGGGAACGACCCAGATCTGGCACATGGCGGGAGAGACACCGGAGGCCGGAGGTGGTGTCAGAGGAAGGAACCACGGATAGGCCAGGCCTCACTGACAGTGACGAAGAAGATGCGGCCTATATGGCCTCGGAGGAAGGAGAGTCGGAGGATGCGTCACTCGATGACGAGGAGGAGGTGGGCTACCACCAAGCATGGGCGAGATCTGGGAGATCACGAAGTGGCGGGAACAGGAGGGATGAGGAAGAGCAACGGAATGGGGACCGAACGCCCGAGACGCCGATTGGTCGACCTGCTGGCGAAAACGCGGTAGAAACACGTCCCCCAGAGGTCATCGCGGGTGTCGATGCCACCTGGCAACAGGTGGAGGGATGGGACGTGGAGTGCCTACGCGGCAGCGAGCAACCCTTCCTGGTAAGAAGACTGCCACCCAAAGTGGTAGACTCCTTTGCCGCATGCCTAGTCATCCCGCTGCAGAGATTGAAACGAAATCCGACGTGCCAAGGGGCGTGGCGGATCCTAGTCTTCCTGCCACGACTGACACTGCGCGCCAATGTCGACCCCAACCAGGCGAACCACTGGTTCGAGATCGAGAACAGGCTACAGGAATTTTTACTTGAGAAATGGGAGTTACTGTACCTCGAGGCAAAAACCATACCAGACCACCCCCGACCGAGCCGACACCAGCCAGATCCCGAGGGGTTGAGGGCGAGAGCAGAAGGGCTGGTTCAGAAAGCAAACCTCGCGAAAGCGGTGGCAGCACTCCAATTAACGCCCCTAGCTGCGACATCTCAGGCGACGCTGGAAGCCCTTCACACGAAGCACCCGGAGGTGATAACAACAATCCCGGACTGGGTAACAAGATGGGATGCGTCAACTCTCGCCACAACAGCCCCCAAACTACGCGTAGCACTCGCGAAATGCCCGAACGGAATAGGGGCGGGGCATTCAGGGACCTATTTCGAGCATCTTCGCGAAGCAGCACTAGCTAATGGAGAAGTCCTCATGCTGCTGCTAGACGTGGTCAACAATCTTCTCGGCTAGGAACAGCCCGCGAACGTTAGAGAGCTACTACTACCTTCTCGCCTGATAGCCCTGGAAAAGCCCTGCGGAGGTGTACGACCGATAGCCATAGGAGAAGCCTTGCTCCGACTAACGGCCAAGATCGCGCTAAGGGAACTCACGGCCGAAATCAGGAAATATTTCCTACCAGTACAGTTCGGGGTCTCGGTCTCATGGGGAGCAGAATGCATCATTCATTTGACACGTGCCTTACTAAAGGAAAATCCCACGCGAGTAGCTCTACAACTTGACATAGAGAATGCCTTTAACTCAGTGGAGCGGGGTAGCTTCTTCACGGTGCTTAGATGGTCGAGACTGCACCCCCTCATTCCCCTTGTACGCACCCTATACGGAGGCCCGTCACGCCTGCTTCTTG